TTTTTTTTTTTTTTTTTTGAAGTCTAAATGAAAAGTTCTTGTGCACTGTGTTAGTTTGCCGATTTGAAAAGTTCTTCGGGAATGTTATATTTGTTGTGTTAACAGGAACTTACTTCACTTTGTTTTATTTTAACTAAAATATATAACTCAGACACATAAAATGTTTCCTTTTCTGTTATTGTTTTTCAGAAGTAGTAGATTAGTCGGCATTTGTTTTCTATTTTGAGTCATTAAATGTCAAGTTTAGTTCAAAATTTCATTGATTCTTGCTGTTACTGGGAGACAGTAAAGTTTTTTCGTTTGAAGTAGTGCGCAACACAAGTTTTATTATCCATAACGGTAGTTTTGAGTGAGAGATCATTATTAGACTGGCAAATCAAGACCACGTGTACTGTAGACTCGACCTGAGTTAGGTAAATATTCAAATCATGTGGTATATGTTGTTCTAGAGGAAGACTTGCTTGTCCTGACTACTTTTTTGTAATGTCCAACTGAAGTGAAGAAAGGTAACATCTTTGAATGATGTACCCATGTAAATCTCAGAGGTAGCAGATTTGTGCGGCGTCGGCGGGATCTAAAGATTCTTGATATTTTTCGTAGTTTATTACTGTTGAGTTGAAAAAAAAAATTAATTCGTATGGGAAACATTGAAGTAATGTGATTAATTTAAAGGTAAAACTAAAAGGAAAATTTTTCTCTAAAAAACAGCTTACTTTTGACCTCATAAGTTGTAACTGGGTGGATTTCGAAGAAGAGTAGCTCAAAGGAGTCATAAGTTATCGAATAGAAAGTGAGATTCGAGGTAAAAATCTTATTTTTAGTATGTTTTAAGCACTCGTAATTTTTTTAATTTCTTCACTTGAATAAGAAAGCGACTTCTGTAGAGCAGAAAGACCGTATAGTGGTGTAGTAATGTACGAGATGCACTGAGGGAGTGGAAATTTGTAGTTTCCGTCTTATAATCGGTAGTTTTTTAACTGACAACCTACAAACGGCTTCTGGTTTCCAACAGGGATTGAGATCTTAATAATCGTTGTCAACATTTGCAGAGTTTCTAAATGAACAGTTTTCTCAATTGAGTTTGGTGCTGAGTTTTGGAATTTTGCAGAGGAGAGCAGAGTTAATAAATGATTACTAACAGAAATTCATTCTCCATATGTCACGCATTATTCTAGAATAAACAGAGAACAAAGCAGTATGGCATCGAAGTTCTACTGCATTTGCATAAGCTGACTTTTCTTTCCGCGGAATGTTACATCCACAACTTTCTATAATATTTCTTTTCATCACCTCAGTTGTGTTCCTTGTTTGAGCAGCGATTGGAAGTAACTTTGTAACCTAAAAGATTTGTTCTAGTCGTGCTGGTATAGTTTCCAAGAAAGCTTTTTCATTTCTAGGTT